CGATTTTTTTAAAATCATTCATAAACATTTTGATTTTTTTAAATCAATCATAGTTTAATATCTTTTTGGGACTTTAAAATAGCGATCAAGTTGAATTTGATGATGAAGTTATTGAAACGAATTAAGTAAATTATTAACCCTCTAGAAGCGCCATTGTCTTGTCATTAAAAAAATTCTTTTATTAAAATGTGTCTTACGAAGATCTTCTGATATATATATGTGTGTGTGTGTGTGTGTGTGTGTGTGTGTGTGTGTGTGTGTGTGTGTGTGTGTGTGTGTGTGTGTGTGTGTATCATAGCCTTGTTGACAGTTAGAAGTTTTTTAACGTGTTTAATGCTACATACATTTGCATTTTCAGTTTTTAAGGATGTATATCTTAACTCAAAAGTTGACATATATCCTTAAAAAATTATCTTTTTTTGCTTGTCTTAATGCTTATGTAAAATCGCGTTATTTAACTGCGATAAGGAAGTATTACGAATTAAATCAAATTTTTTATATATGCTAATCAAATTTTAATAAATATTCATGCAAGCTATTTGAATCCATTTACCCATTTAAAAGTCGTTTATCTAAAACTGCAGCAAAATATCGTAATTGCACTACATAAACCATTAAAAGTAAAATAATTTTATTTTTCGTTTTATTTTTTGTAGTCGTTTTTAGGACGAATTTACGATAAAATTTTTTGATTGATATTGGCATTTTTGGCTGATACTTTTAACTGATATTGTACAGTCAAAACATCCTTAAGTGTAAGCTAATATCTATAGATTGTAGATCCCGAATTCCATTTTAAAATAAATGTTAACACAAATATGCAATATTCGCTCCTAGAGGATTAAATGGAGATATTTGCGACTACAAATGATGACGAGAAAATTGTAGAAACACAAATTGTGTGAGCAAATGTTTACACGCACTGAGGCACTGTACTGTAGTTCGATTTTTCTAGCGGCATCCCTTCCGTTCTTTCGGTCTACTACCTTCTTCGTATCATTTTCTCTTTAACAATAGCAGGTACTAGCATAGCTACCACAGTCGTACGTATCGTTATAATAGTTACAATTAAGTTTAGATATTACTAAAGGGTTCTGTTCTTCATCAGCTTCTTCTCAACGTCTACTTTAGTAGTTAGTTCCACGGTTAAAACTTGTTTCGCACCCCCTCGACCCGTCCGGAGACCATTATCCCGTCGACCAAACCCCCGAGTGTTCGAGCCGACGCAACTTGACTAAATTTCCAGCTACAATTTCTCTTTGGACCGAGATATCGTATAAAAAACTCTTTTTCCTCTTTACCCCCCTGAAATGCACGACTAACGAGATCGAAAGTTTCGGCGCACAAGTAAGATGCAAGTTCGTTATTTACAATATTTATTTTTAGGTATGATCCCAGATTTAAAGCGGATCACAGAAATCGCGAGCTCGCTTCATCCTCGCACCGAATCCTTCGATTCGGACGCGATCAGGGAAGGTTCGTCCAGCGTCGATCCACTTCGACACAGCCCCAGAGCCGAGTGCGAGGATAGTTTACAAAAAGGCCTATACAAAAGTCCGTAAGAAAGAACGACTAAACATACATACTTGGAAATTACGCGCCAGACATTTACACGGCTATATATTGACGCGCTACGAGGAAGTCGTAGAAATGAGTGTCTAAGGATAGGACGCGCGGACGCGGTTGATCGGCAAAGCGGATCGACGCCGGTGTGGTCTCCGGATTGTCCTCGGGTCTGTATCCTTGCATTTTGTCCCGACGGCCACAGGAATAACACTTTTGAATACTTTTAGCACCTAGTGCATGCGCGGCCCGCGGCTCGCTGCACCTCCGCCGCCGTTACTGTTACGTGTAAGCGGCTCCGCACAATAAAAGGAACTGTCTCTGTTCCACAATACACGATTCCTGACAGGCTGAAATTCTTATTCTCTATTCTCCGTTCCCTGTTCCTTTTATTTTGCGGAGTCCCTAATACTCGTCGGCGAGGCTCGACCGCCACGTTCAATTTGCGGAGATCAAATACAGCTTTCTATCGATAAAACGAAAGATAATATAAAAGTTAATTTAAAATATAGTGAAATTTTCACTAGTATAAAATTTCGTACAAACATTACTCCCGAGGATTGACGCGATTATTATCTCGGAACTTACGAGTCATATTATCGAATTAATTTAAGTACAGGAAGCCGGAACAATATTCGCGCGTAGCTAACATTCAGAGACTAATCAGAACGATCTTAAGGCTGCGATACAGATGGAATATACGGAGCGTGCTCATTTTAAAACGCGACTCACAATCATCTTCTTTTGTAGGCGATTTTTGAGAAAGGAAGACAGTTCTGACTGACGAAAGTGGAATTTTCGTTGTAAAGCGTTATCTCGATAATCATTTGCTTTATAGTACAAGTTTATAGTGGCGTAGCTTGCGTTTTATGATGGACACCCTACAGTTTAGGTCGATCGTGCCGACTAAAGTTAAATCGTAAAAGCAAGTCTCTTAGAAAACTATTAAAGTATATATTCGTTTGAAACTCCGGAAGATAAGGTAGCTGCGTAAAAATTTAATTCTTCTTCTAATCACGTTGTTTTAATCATTGAAATTAAGGTTGATTTTTGCAACCGGACGAGTCGCCTCGCCGACAAGGACAATAACGCGCGGCCTTTTAATTACATAATCACCTAATTAACCTCGTGAACGCTAAGCGACGACGTTGCTCCCCCGGAACTGTCCCGCCCGCCGTTCATCCTGCTTCTGATTGACTCTCATTATCTTTGTACTAGTCTCTTTTTCTCAACATCGTGAAGCTCTGCGGACGATTCTGCTTGATTGGAAAAAAAAAAAAAAGAGGATACTAAGGGATTGATTATACGCTACAAATCATCGTTAAGTCCCTAATTATTCTAATCAGCGTTCTCACATTCAACGTAATCTATCTTAATTAATCGACGAAGATCTTATCGACTGGTTAGACTTGTACTTGTTTATAAATGATTCGCGAGCGGCGCCTGCGGCAATCGGAAAATAATTAGAAAGAATTTCCGGGTTCAAAGTTTAAACGCATAGCGGCGAGGAAGCGCATTGCCGAGGTTTAACGATTCGAAGAGGTTCCCCCGACAGCTCGGAGGGTCATCGACTCCGGATGTCAAATCGAAAGGCAATATCTCGAAAGGAAATCGATTCCCGATGGTTTTTCTGCAGCGGACGGGCGGGCGGGGACCAAGTTGCAGGTACAGCCGAGCAAATATCGGGGGGCCTGCTGTGCAACGAGGCCACTTACGTTCTTCGCGAACACACCGGCTGGCTCTTTTTCTATCTCGTCTTCTACTTCTCCTCTTCCTTTCCTTGCACATCACTCGCTGCACTCTCTCTCTCTCTCTCCCTTTCTCACTTTCTCTCTCTCTCTCTCTCTCTCTCACTCTCTCGCTCTCGCTCTCTTTTTCTCCTACATTCTACTGCATTTATTATAAAAATAAAATGTAAAATCGTACCGAGGACGAGTTTTCCGAACGGTATAAAACTGCGAGCTCGTTTCTCTTTTTCTCTACATTATCACTATACTCGCGGGAAGGATCGATCCTTCGTTCCTTGATCGCATTGTTCTTTCTCATTTTATTTATTCATCTCGTGTGAATGAACGGGCCGTCTTCCGTAGATTCTCCGATTTTACCTTCCACCTCTCGATTCGACGTGTAAAAGTCCTCCGTGCAAGGAAGAGCTACTCGCGATCCGATTTTCAGCTCGTTTAAAGAGCTTCGTACTTTATTTAGTGCCTGAATAGCTTTCCGCGTCGTCTGTAATGTGACTGTAATATCTGGCTGCGAAACGAAACGAAGCGACGCGACGCCGCGCGTCGCCTCGCGTCGGTGCTCGATCGATGGAGAAAAAAAGTTTAGAAGACACCTTACCTTATCGATCTTTCGTCGGTCCACGGATTTTTCAACATCGACGGCTCGCTCGACACGAGCTGGGGGACAAGTGTGTAGTTCCTACCGTTTCGCGAGAACCCGGTGAAGAGTGAGTGCATCTTGAATATAATACATAGGCTCTACAGAGATATATATTCATTATTTAATTCTCCGACTATATACCAGTGAAAAAATAAATTATTACACGTTGGTAATATCTGTGTGGGTCAGTGTCGCGTATATATGGTTTTCCTCTTTTTCTTTTTTTTTTTTGTTTCGTTAATACATACGTGTGTGTGTCATCTCGTGCATGGATGATGCTCGCATGTTATGTATGTGAAAGGTCTACGTGTACCCGCGTGGATTCGTATTGTATGTTATACGGGATGTATATACGGGAAGATCGGTATAATATGTATATGTGTGTGTGTGTGTGTGTGTGTGTGTGTGTGTGTTATTCTTATAATGTGTCGAGTGTATCTTTACTGTCCTAGATGCGCGCTCGACGCGTCGTTCGAATGTCCGCCGGTGCGCTACATGCATGCCGTATACCTTTGAGCGCGTTTATGTGTGTTGTGTATGTATGCGTGTATTGTAGGTAGCCACACGATGGCTTCCGTCTCGAACGAGCGTCTCGCGCCATCGCCAATCGAGTCCTTATCGGGTTTTAACACATATACACGCTCTCGTTAGCCGTTAGCCGCTTCCTTCCGTCTCCTCTCTTCTCTCCACCGTGCCTAAAACCGTTTCCGCACGCACACGTTATATCGCAATCAGACGTACCTCAGACGCATCATCTCCACACGCATACACATCTCTTCCTTCCTTTCTCTCTTTCTTTCTATTCCCGTTTTCCGTCGCGCCTTCTTTCCTCATTCTCGATCGCTTTCGTCGTCGGTGCTGATCGTTCGGCGGCTGTCTCTCTCTTTCTTTCTCTGCTCATTCTCTATCTCTCCTCCGTTCAGCGACAATCAATAATGTATCAATAATGTATGTACAGAATACCTCGGACACTTGTTGGATTAGGAAAGATCGAACGAAAGAGCGTTCTGAGAAGCGTTCTGAATAGGAATTCGCGGGAGAGAACAAGTCGGTATCGTGAATACCATTAACCAGTGTATTCTGATTAAGGGAGGAGAGATAGAGTGGTACTGACTCGGCGACTGTGACGGACGGTCCGTCATCTTTAAGAAGCCGGACAATTCTGGACAACGTCTCGACGACGGAGTCTCGGAGGCGACGGAGGCCTCCTTCTCTCCTTTTTGTTCGTCACCGGACCAGCGGCACCGAAAACGAAAACGCTGTTACCGCCGCCACGGGGCGTGGCGGCGGTTTTGTCGACGATCTCATGTGCACGCGCGAGGTATTAGTTGGCCACGAGCAAGTGCTGATATTGGCTGGCCGGATAGGGTGCGACCGAGCCGAGGCCGAAGTTGTTGAGGCCCTCGACCAGGGCACTCTTGTCCTGCTGCTGCGCCGCGGCGGTCGCGCCACCGTTGACGTTGCCGTTGGTTGTCGCCGAGCCGATTGGACCGAGATTACCGGCGCCGGCGCTACCGGCGCCCTGAGTACCGGCTCCGGCGCCGTTGGTGCCGTTTACAGCGCCGCCGGTACCGGCGCCAGCGCCGTTCATGCCGCCGCCGTAGAACTGATGGCCAGCCAGGGTGGTCGGGTCGAGGTACGACGATGGGAATTTCGTGCCGGCGTAGAGATCGGCCGGCAGGTAGCCACCGTGGCTCGCCGACGAGTCGAAGATGTTGCGATGGGGGAACTGCGCGTGGTACGCCGCCGCGGCCGCGGCTGGGCCATGTTGGAAGAAGTACGCACTCGGGTCCGTATGTTGCTGTCCAGCGCCGGCGACTATGCTACCGGGCGATAGGCTACGACTGCGCGGCGAGCTCTGGGAGACCGGCAATCCTGCACCAACCGCGGTCGCCTGTTGCTGCTGCTGTTGCTGCTGCTGTTGCTGCTGCTGCTGCTGCTGCTGCTGCTGCTGCTGCTGCTGCTGCTGCTGCTGCGACTGATGCTGCTGTTGCTGCTGCTGATGATGGTGGTGATGGTGAATCTGCTGCTGCATCGCTGCGCGCTGCTTTATATAGTTCGAGAACTCAGTGGGTGACATCCTGAAACCGAGCGGTACCGTGCGGTTCATCAATGGATCTGTGTATGCACGGATGTGTGCGTGGATCCGGGAGTGGTAGAGTTCGTCTCGCGGCCTGGTTAGTACGCGCGTTTTGTTCTGCTTTTGTGTGTGTTTCGTAAATGGAATAACGCGCGCGCGCGCGCGCGCTATAATTAAATTCTATCTCGAAAATGTACGATCTTCTACGATAGATCGCACGTTTCGTTACTCTCTAATTTCAAGCATGCTTAGCTATTTCTACGATTATCTGGTTGCGAAGCGATCAACTATCCATCTAATGGCGATCCCACTGTTCAATTTGTTTTTTTATACCGCGGGAACTGTAACGTTAATTTCTAGTGATAAATACGTAATGATATACCTGGGAAAATTGCAAGCAGCATTCCACGAATATATTATACACGTACAGATTGTGTTATCTACTTAGGAAACTCGAGAGGTGTAATGTCGAAAGACGTTAATAATCAGATTAAAAGCAATTACTTTTTTCTAACATTTTTCAATAAATTGTGTAATTTGTAATTACAATGAAACTCATGTATCGTTGTTCCTTCAATGTAACACTCCTCGAGTAGCAACAAAATTCAACTGCCTACTCTACCAATTTTTATCGCAATAATAATATCATTCAGGAAAGAAATAATGATTTTTATTATAAAATCTTCGTCACAAAAACTCAAGATAATCATCATGTAATTGGGGAAAATTAAGGTTTATTTATATTCGTGATAAAAATTTTTCCGATCGATATCAAAACTACTCCGTCATGATAAACATGAAATAAATAAATGTTATTTCTACGGTGGGAAGGTAAAAGAAAAGTTGAGACAAGCGGTCGTTACTTTAAAGTTTCATCCTTTTAAGTTTTAAGCCAGAAATTGAATTCTATTTGACTAATCCAAAGCGGGGGGAGACATCAAACGACGAATGTACCAACCTGTTGGCGCGTTTGCTGCTAGTTTTGAGCTTAGTGCTGCCGAACTTGGTCTGGGCGAAGGTAGCGGTGGTAAAGGTGAGCGGGGCGGTGGTACGCGGGATGAAGGCCGGTACGGGGCTGGGCGAGCCCTTGAAGGAGCTGGTGATGGGCGTGGGTGAGGGCGCAGACGAGGAACCGGATCCGTGGCCGTTCTGCTGGTTGTTGGACGAGCCGTTGCTGGCGTTGCTGCCGAGGGAGCTCGAAAACGGCGAGGTTGATTTCGGACTGAGGCTGAGACCGCTCAAGGACGTGCTTACAGCTTCGATCGGCCTGAAGCACTGCGCCTCGGGATTGAAGGTCTTGGTGACCTCGCGATCGGCCGAGGTCTCGTCGTGCGGATCGCCGGTCTCCGAGTAGAGAATCTTCACGGCGTTCAGCTCGCCGATACGGTAGCTCACCTCACCAGGATCAACCCAGACGGCGAGCTCGGCTGGCAGATTCTCCAGGATATCCTGGATCGGCACACCGCTCTCTTTCGCGGCGCGCTCCAGCACCGGGTCGACCGGATCACCGGTCTTGAGGCACCTGAACGCCGAGCCCTTGAACGGCTTCTCCGGATACCAGTGGCCTTTGAACTTGTCCTTGAGCGCCTTCTCGAGCTCTTCGCCGAAGATGTTGACTCGTCTACGCGGCAGTTTATTGTAGAGATACGATATCACGAAGTTAAGCGCCACCTGCACCTCGATGTGCATCTTGGCCTTCGGTGGGAGAATCTTTGGGCTGTTGTCGTCGCACGTAGCGGCCGCGCCGGGATAACACCGAGGACGTCCGCACGATCGGCCGTCTTGCCACGGGCGGGGGATTGTTCTGGATGGTGGTACACGCCTGGCTAACGAAACTTCCGGATACTGCCGACGCTCCACGACTCGGCGGTCGATTTTTCAGTGCGCGCAGACTACCCCGTCTTGTGAGTCACAAATCGTGAGTGTCCGAAGATCTGTAACATCCACAAATAGGAAGACTATATCAGAAATGTACCGTGTATTGGCCGTTTATCTTCGAGGCTGCGTTCAGAAATTTCCAAGGTGCATTTTATCCTTATCGTTCCTCAAATGTTAAAAGATAAAGCAATGGATGCATCCAGATAAAATTTCTGAATACAGGATTCTTCAAGAGTCTTCTTTACTTCTAACTGTAGGTTAAAATTACTTTGATAAAAATTTAAGATATACATATATCTGCACTCTCTCGTAGACATTCCTATCGCAGCGACAAATTCCATGCAATTTCGATTCAATCGCAAACGCACTTCGAAACGTCTATTCTATTCCTGCGAATCTTAATTACGGCCCTCTCCGATTCGCGAATCAATGGCAAAGTTTGTCGAATGCCGAATGGGAATATTATCGCGTGGAGCAGCGCTTGCTCGTACGCATTATCGGAGACCGACAATAGGTCGTGCCCCTCTCCTTCTCTCTCGAGGTGTATGCAAAGATCGAGATGCTCGTTGTTCCTAGCGGAGATACCATTGAGAGAAGTGCGAAATCGCGTCGTAGGCACTCGCTCGCCTATATCCTGCAAAAAGGGCTCGCCTTGGCCGGCTCTTGGTCGACAAACGTTATCGGTTCCTTTCATGAGTGAGGCTCATTGAAATGGAACGCGGCTTCCGGTTACTCGCTCCGCTGTTTCTCGACCTCGCACGCTCGGGGAACCGAAAGACAGAGCCGACCGAATCGTTCCTTTTCCGCCATTTTCCTCACACCGAGAAATGTCCATAAAGGATAATGCCTCTAAAGACTCGTGATTATCGGCAAAAGGCCGGCTACGAGAATTACTCTCATTGGCTACGTTCAGCAAAGAAAATTCATCAATGAGCGCTCAGTGACTCTTTAACTTCTTACTTAATTTTAAACAAAAATCCCTCATTAATTATATTGGTTCTTGCTTTTAATTCTTTACTCGATCTAAGTGTAGGTATTACGCAGCTAACGAGAGTGTAGTTTAACGAAGAACCTTTACTGAGTCCTTTTATTATCGTACGTAACTCAATCCATCTCATGTGTGTGGATTCAATCGTTTAAAATTACATGCGTATTCACGTGGGGATATTACAGATTCGTATTGTAAATGAGAAATGGAATAATAACGGAAAATATTTATCTGTGTTGCGCTATGTTAAAAAAACGACCCAGTTAAAGAGCACCTGCATAAAGATCGAAGAACTCTCATATAATTGCAATTAATTAAAACTCGACTCTAAAGTTGATTCGTTACACGAATCTGCTTTGTCGAGCTCGCCCTCGTTTTCTTACGATCCGACTTACAGAGATTAGCAAATACACAACGTTCACGTAGAGACCATCAAGTTTTATACATCCATTTTATCTTTATTTTCGCCACCGTTGACGATACCGAATCAAGCTTTCGCAATTCCGTTATTCTTTTACGTTCCGTCACGCTCCTTTATATTCGAGGCTGTTTATGCGCCGTTTCGCCGAGTGTTCGTCGCGTAAATTATGCACGCAGAGAAAACGACGCGCGCGTCATACGGCGCTGGTCGTATAAAAATGCCCACGTCCGCAAACAGTCTTGTGACGCAAACGAAGGAGAAGAAAACGGGATGAGAGGTGATAAAAGGGATTGCTCTTAGAAGCGACGAGAGATTGCGCAGACGACTATCCCGCCATTCGCGAGCCGCCGCCGCAATTGCGGAAGTCGCTCTTTCTCTGAATGGCACCGAGAGCGAAAGGTGTTCTTTCCTCGATGTCTCTCATCCCCTTACTTTTCTCTCTCTCTCTCTCTCTCTCTCTCTCTCTCTCTTCATTCTTTCCTCGTAAATAGAGATTCTCCGGCGTCTATCAAGAGCTCCTTCACGAGCGCCTGGTATATCCGGCGACCTCGAGCTGAGAATCTCGGAACTCGATTGCCCGTCTTCTTTTGGCTTCTATCCTCCAACCCTTTACGACGACGACATCGCGAGGGAAAATGGAGCTCCGAGATAGGGTGGAAGAGAAAGAGGAGGAGAAAGACGAAAAAAGTTTTCACGACTTTCGGGCCGGTGACCTTCCAAAGATGCGAAAGTCGATTGAGACGTGATACTTGCTTTTACCGACTTCTTTCTCCTTTTACACGGATCTTAATTCTTAAAGCATATCATTGTACGTAATATAATACATTTCCCGATTATTATTCATTTTCGGAAGAATTTAATTATACGAAATTTAACAAACGTTAGACATTTTTTTCCCCTGGAGATAAGTTACAGCCAATTACTTAAGCGCACAGTACTTATCATGCGTGAAATACTAAAAGATACTTTCAATATTTTACCAGCCTGAGATAAGTCAAATATAATTATTTAATGGAAAATATGACTTACGTTTAGTAGTGTATAAACGTTACAGGGATGGAGGTAATTTGCGTTTTTACGCGCAACGGCGCATGAATCGCAATGAGATATTTCGACGGGGCAAGATAACGGAAATGGGTTTTTCCAACTTTCTTATCGAGAAACATTTCGTTGCACTGGTGGCCCCGCGGCCACGTTTCTCGCGGGCGGTTTTACTCGGCGCATCTGCATCGTGTACCCGCATTTTTTCTCCCCCCCGACCTCTTCCTGTACTCGGTAGCAAGTTTCCACCGGCGGGCTCTCGACCAGAGGCGGCGGATATGTAGGTTAAAGTTAGCGGCGGTCTCCATTTCCAGCGGTAGTGCATTACGGCGAGACGAGGGGGTGGTTGTAGGTATTGATCCCGCGGCAGGGTTGCCGGAAGGTTCTCAGGTTAAAAATACACGGCCTTGCGGCTACCGTGTCTGACCAACTGCCTCGCGAAGTGCCCGCTAATTTCCGCTACTTTGATTTTCCCGCGATACTTATCGACCCGCAATACTTATCCGAGGTTTGTCGAATTTTTGTGTGCAAAAGGAAAAAAATCGCGCCATCACTCCCTCTTTCTATCTCAACTACCTCTGAGAGATGTACCTCTTATCTCTTTTAGCAAATTGTATTTTAAACAGAAATAAAAATAGGACGGATCCAATTTTACGAAATTCCCATCGCTGCGGTTATGCTAATTTTATTATCGTCCGTGTAATTATTCATGAGACGGTGAAATCGATTTGTGGCAGGTGTCAAAGGGATTTTTCTCAGCCGGTCTCTCTCTTTCCCGCTCTCATGGGGGGAGTGCGCAGTCGAGCACCGGGGGTGCCGGCGCCCTTTGTATTCACGCCGGACTGAATGGAGGTCGCGTGGCAGAAGAGGTGCCCCGGGTATGTGGGCCGGAGATAAAGCGTCCTTCGGCGAACGAAGTCAATGGAGCGCGGGGGGAGGGGGGGGGGGTTTCCCCGGTACAGCCGGGAATGATCCTCGATATTCTCGACGTGTGCGCGACGCGGTGGGACAACGCTGACACGCAATCGTGCCGAGAGACAAAGAAGCGGCGTACTCCAGCTAATTATCCCGCTACTCGCTCGCAATGCGAGCGGCTGTTTGATCGCGGTTGGACGCCGCGATCGATGTACATACTCGAGCGAGATACCCACGCGACACGTGAAACGTGACGTATGAAATGTATCGTATACGCGACAAAGACGACACGAACAAGGTGATACCCTACGTCACATCTCTCTACCTGTCTCGACGTTAAGACGTGACAGAATAACAACTGTTCGTCATACATAGAATAACAACTGCTGCTTAAACGTAGGATGCAATCGAACGAAAAGACACTATAGTCTATGATCGAGCGAGGAACTGAACTTTAATTTAAATAGAAGAAAGAAAGTAAATAATACCTTCAGAAATGCTTCTTTAATGCTGAATGATTCCGTCAAATATTTTTACATGTGAATTACAGTAAGTCAAGTAAGAGCGTGGTCGAGTTCATGTTATTAGC